AGTACGCACTTGTTTACTTTCACCTGGCTTCGGCTGCACGTGCGAAAAGGTGTTACCAAAAGCCGAAAGATTGAGATGGAGACGGAGCACGCACTGAATTATTTTCCTTTCCCGACTACAGCTGGCCGCCATTTGGCATATGTTAATTTTTTTTTAATTGTATTGTATTAGCTGTACCCCTCTTCTAATATACACCTGTATTCCTTACTGAAAAAAATACATATGAATTTATTTCTGATATGTTTATTGAACACACTTTTCATGTCAGAACATAATTTTTCATATTAATTTCATATGTCGCATGTCAGTTTCAGTTAGGCTAGGTGGCGCTAGGTACCGCCCAGTTTATGTGCTACAAAAATATTTTTATTTGCCCACCACAATTACACACACATGTCGATACATTATGCATACCACTAGCATCAGCTGAACATATCACATATTGAGCAATACACATACACGGCACAACGAGCGTGACTACTACTGCACACCCGATAACTACTTCTGAGTTCTGCGTTTCCGCCTTTTATGCTGGTCGCTTTGAAGCTACGGATTTTCTCGGTTACAACCTCTGCAATAAATGATATATTCTTATAACGTTGATAATTTTTTTTCAGTAATGTCATACCCTTGAGAGTATTTTGAATGGCTCAGGGGATGAATCTCTTAGTAAAAAGTAAACGCTCATGCCGTTAATATTTGAAAGCCAATAAATCAAGCCTCTCCGTTGCGGTTCCCAGCAACGTGTTTGCTTGCCCGCGCGGCTCGTTGTATACTGAAAAAAATTATATGAATGTGTTTCCGATATGCTTATTGGACACATGGCTAATTGTGACATGAAAGTCCTATAGGTTATTATTTAAATCACATATGAAATTGTGTGTTGCTTATCAGGGGGCATATTGCCACGCTCGCCGGCGAGCGACCGCGCGCATGACCGAGTGGTTAGCGTGCTTGACTGTCGCGCAGAAAGTCTGGGTTCGATTCCAGTCAGTGGAATGATATTTTATTTGTTCTTTCAACATTGCGTTCTCGTGTGTTCGAGAACATTCTCGTATGATCGAGTTCCGAATGTTCCAGTCGCCGAACAATCTAGGCCGATTGTTCCAGAACCCAACGCGCGTACATAAGGGACTCCGCCTCCTGATCTGCAGTCAGTTTCGCTCCAGCGTTCGACTCTGCTGACACGCCGACTTCGACGCCCGCGACGCTCTGCTTTCTTCTGTTTCCTTCTTTATTTTTGGCACAAGTTCGCCACATTAAGCGTTTATTTATTCCTGTTCATTTCTAGTTTATTGGTCACCACCCGTGACATTTTGGTGGAGGTGCTGGGTACCGCATGCCCGTGCAGCGTTCCCCTCCAAGGGCCGCAAGCACAGCGACGCCGACTGCCTGTCCAGAGCCCCCGTCGAAACACCTTCCGCCAGTAGCAACGACGATGACGACGAGTGCTTCCTAGGTGCAGTAAACACCGACGACATGGCACGACGTCAAAGAGATGATCCTGAGTTGCGCGCGCTAATCGAGCACCTCGAAGGACGAGGGGGTAGTGTCCCCCGTGTCTTCTCGAGAGCCCTGCCGACTTTCGTCCTCCGACAAGGTGTACTTTACAAGGAGAACTTCGGAGACAACAGCACACCATGGCTGCTGGTAATCCCACCGACCTTAGAGCGGAGATCTTCCAAGCCTGCCACGACGACCCGACGTCCGGACACCTTGGTTACAGCCGTACGCTGGCCCGGATCCGTGAAAGGTATTACTGGCCCAAGCTGCCGAGGACCGTTCACTTCTACACACGGTCCTGCCACGAGTGCCAGCGACGCAAGAAACCGCCGACGAAGCCGGCAGGTCTCCTGCATCCGATCGCTCCCCCGACCGTACCGTTCCAGCAGATCGGAATGGATCTACTTGGTCCTTTCCCACCATCGACGCAAGGAAACAGATGGATCATTGTCGCCACAGATTATCTCACACGGTACGCCGAAACGAAAGTCCTTCCTGTAGGGACTGCTGTGGAAGTCGCCAAGTTCTTTATCGAGTCCATCGTCCTCCGGCACGGCGCTCACGAAGTTTTGATCTCAGACCGTGGATCATCGTTCATGGCCCAGCTGACGCAAGAAATCCTTCGTCTCAGCCACACCAGCCATCGGCGCACAACGGCGTACCACCCGCAGACCAACGGGCTGACGGAGAGACTCAACAAGACTATCGCCGACATGATCTCCATGTATGTCGACGTAGAGCACAAGACGTGGGACGAGGTGTTGCCGTATGTCACGTTTGCCTACAACACGGCCGTGCAAGAGACCACCGGGGTGACACCCTTCCAACTGGTTCATGGTCGCAAAGTAACGACAATGCTGGACGCGATGTTACCCCACGAACCGGCTGTCAACGGAAGCGACGACGCCCAGGTGGTTGCCCAACGAGCAGAAGAAGTCCGCCAGCTCGCCAGACACCGTATTCAAGGCCAACAACGTGTCGACACTGACCGCTACAACCTCCGTCGTCGGGACGTCCACTTCCAGCCCGGAGACAGGGTGTGGGTGTGGACACCGATACGTCGCCGTGGTCTCAGTGAGAAACTCCTAAAGCGCTACTTCGGACCCTACAAAGTACTTCGTCGACTCGGGGATCTGAACTACGAGGTGATGCCCGACGGAACACGGACTTCATCACGCCGCGCTCCACGACCGGAAGTCGTCCACGTCGTGCGCCTCAAGCCGTACTACGCGCGATAAGACTGCGAACTGTGATCTTGTGCACCGCTTGATAGGATTGTGTTTGGCGAGCCTCCGTATGTTCCCATTTTTTTTTTTTTTTGTTTCGCTCTGTTTTGTTGTTTTTTACGTGGCATCGAGACGATGCCTTTTTAAAGGGGGGAGTAATGCCACGCTCGCCGGCGAGCGACCGCGCGCATGACCGAGTGGTTAGCGTGCTTGACTGTCGCGCAGAAAGTCTGGGTTCGATTCCAGTCAGTGGAATGATCTTTTATTTGTTCTTTCAACATTGCGTTCTCGTGTGTTCGAGAACATTCTCGTATGATCGAGTTCCGAATGTTCCAGTCGCCGAACAATCTAGGCCGATTGTTCCAGAACCCAACGCGCGTACGTAAGGGACTCCGCCTCCTGATCTGCAGTCAGTTTCGCTCCAGCGTTCGACTCTGCTGACACGCCGACTTCGACGCCCGCGACGCTCTGCTTTCTTCTGTTTCCTTCTTTATTTTTGGCACAAGTTCGCCACATTAAGCGTTTATTTATTCCTGCTCATTTTTAGTTTATTGGTCACCACCCGTGACAATATGTCGCAGATAAGTTCTTATACGTCGCACATCAGTTTTTAGGTATTTTATATCAACTTTATATGTCACATATCGGCTTTTGAACATTTCATATCAGTTTCATATGTCGCATATCAGTTTTTTTTATATTTTCTACCAGCTCTTATATAGATTCATAAAATTTGTTTCTGTAGGGTTGGCGTACTAATATTATCATATAAATAAACAAATAAGTTCGGTCCCTTGTACAACTCAATTTATGCCATCTATACTCCTTTTCAACTTCCAATGGACTGGCACGAAGGTTGGCAGATTGAACACTGCCTCAGAAAATCTTGCATCCGCATTGTCAAAGAGTGCGCGAGAGATATTGCGATACGCAGACTACGAAGAGCACTTACCTAAAGCATATGGTTCTCTGTTATGATAGCGCGCTATTTTATATAGGTGAAATAAAGATACATAGTATTTAGTTTCATAAACGTTCTTGCCATATTTGTAAACATGTCAACTGTAGGGGGAAGTTGGAAGGCGCGCAAGCAACACTGACGAAGTCGCCTCGTCTTAGCCATAACAATCCAATCCAATCCAACTTTTGTGTACGTAAAACATGCCCGGACCGGCATCTTCCTTCCCCACGCGGTCCACACATACGCCGCCGTGTCGAACACTCTGTCGGACTCATCTTTATTTCTTAATGGCCACTAGTTCTGATCGCGGGTTCTCATCGCCCCATCACTTCCAGACGGTATTTAATCCCATCAGTAGTCTTCAGTAGTAGCAAGCAGACGGAGCCGCCGCGAGGGCTCGATAAGCAGACGAAGAACTCGCCCCCGCATGACGCGTCTTGGCGCACTGATGCGTACGAAAGAGCAAATATACCAAGTGGTTTCTAACAGCCTCGTGATTGGACATGGCAGCCTAAAACGTTAGTCCATCGTAGGATGAGACGGGGTATTGGCGGCCGAAAAACTAAAAAAAGCTACCATTATCACCGACTTCTTTCGCTTCTATACTCGTGATCAATGATCGCGACATTCCACTTTTTTTTTAATTAGCAGGAAAAAGACATGTTGCTACCTTTTATTGCGTTGTTAAGAAAACTACATCGTGCATAATTTTGGGATTTTATTGCACTTAAGCCGCAAAGATGGAGTTACCGCTGTAAAAGACAACCCCATCAATATTGTAGTGTCACTCTGTGAAATATTTTTTCACAAAAAATATGACACTCATGTGACACTCACTAACCGTCGGTATGATACTGCTTGAAGCTTCGAAGTTCAAGAAGCATATTTTACGAACTTTTGACCGTAACAACCATACCGTGTCCGTATTGACATTCGCCGTAAGAACATCGTTCACGGTTGCACATTAAATGTCACGAAACAAAATACATCCTATGCTCAAAACAAAACGATGATATTGCTCTTCTATTTTTTACTTTTTTTGAGGTGCGAAAAAAGAACTTCCTTCTGTCATCCAAAAAGGTCACATTCCATTTTAATATCTGCTCTGTAGAAAGAGAGAGGAGAGGCTGTTTCTATACAGAGAGAAACCGAAGAGGAGGAGAAGATGAGAACGTGCCGTGACGTCACAGCGCCGAGCACTAATACGAAGAACTAATGGGTAGGTGCAAAGACTAGCTTTCTTTGTCTCTAAATACTACTCTCCTTTCCCTGTCCAATGAGTGGGAAGAAGGGCGTTGTAATCCCCTCGCGCAAAGCCTGGCATTTGAGCAAAAGTAGACAGCCTTTCCATCTACAAGCTATCCTTCCAATCAGAGCTTGAAGCTCTGAAGTCACCGCAAGCTCTCACCCCCTCCCCCTCCTTCAGTTTCTCTCCATATAAAAAGAGGTCGGGATTGGTTTCAGGTTAAAGTGTGACTGCAGATTAAGCAGCAAGAGCCCAGCCATGAAGACATTTTGCTTAGCGCTTGCTTTGACCGTCATCGTGGCCGCACTGTTGGCAGATGTCAACGCCGAATTCAAAGTAAGGTTTATTTTTTTTTTTTTTTGTATTTGAAGAAACGTCATACCTGCACTAGCCTCATGCACTCTTAGGCTTATTGTTGACTTTTGATACTCCTTCTGGCATTGCTTAATTTATATGATTCTAATGTCGATCTCTCTATATGCTTGAAACTTCTTTGGTTCGTCCGGTGCTGTATTGCAAGGTTTTGAGTGAATTCGGTTGGATTTTGAAGTTGCATGAACCCTCTAAGGTGACAAACAGGAAACCTTTTCGGAGACAGGTTGAATATACGCATTGTTGGTAACTGCGTTGGTTCCTGATCGCCCCCCACTGGCTTCAAATGTGCAGCCGTGGGAGCAAGTGACCTTCCAGACTATTTCTTGAGGTACCAAACATACTATATCATCTTGTCGACTGACAAAACGCCGGTGTTTATTACCCTAAGGTATTGAAACTCCTTAACATACAGATGTTCACGTCACCTTCCCGCTACCTAATGCATTGGAGTGTGCCTCATCACAATGAATCTGTGAACTGGAGATTCACCGTAGCAACTATTACCAACGTGTTCGACACTAAGAAGTGTTGTTGTTGTTATCGTCGTCGTCGTTGTCATTGTCGTCATCGTTGTTTTTGTTTATTTTATAAACATCAACGACAACACAACGACAACGTGCGTCGTTGTGTGGTCATTGTGTTGTGCCTGTTACAAAAGAAGCGCCGATGTATCGGTACTCGTTAGTTTGTCAAAAAAATAAAACAGGCTAGATAAAGTTTTTTCCTTCTTCTAAAACGTAACGAAGTACCATTACCGTTGCTTCTGCAAACTAAGGAACGTTGTCTTAGCGTTTCTTTAGATTTAAGCATTTTGCAGCGACAAGCTTCAGTCACGAATTCCGACAGCAATTAACCTTTTAAAGAGTGATTTCAGGTATTTTTATTCTTTGTCGATCAAATTTGCAGAATAGAGCATGTTTCCGATTGTGCGTTGACACTTTAAGGGCACCGAAAACGTGAATAACTTCTCTTAAAAGTAAAGACTAGAGGGTAACGTAATTTGATAGTAGTACCCTAAATTTTGTTTTACGGTACTACTAAAAAAAAAGTAAAATCTTTTTCGTGGCCTCTCTGCTGGCCGGTGTGATTTCATCTCAGGTAGGTGTGAGTTTTCTTCGCCCAGTATTGTAGCTTGCCACTGAAAAGACGCAAGTAACGCTCAGAAGCGATTTGAGAAAATATTGCTAAATTTAAAAATAATCATACGCCTAGAATACATGCAGCAGTGTATTATTTTAGTCAGTAAGAGCAATCTTCAGACGAAGCAGATATGATGGCGAGGCAAAAATCTTGGTAACCCAAAAATGATGATTGCATTGTAACAATAAGCATTTCGCTAGTATGCGTTTGGACAGTGACGCAGCGCAAACTTGATAGAGTTGGGGCAATTCCTTTCGGTCTTGCCTTTTGCTTAATTAAATCTCAGTGATCTTTTTATTTGCGATATTTTCGGTGATTTCAATATTTCCAGGGTCTATAGCTCGTTACAAATGAGGAGGACATACAAATTCACATTGAAAAAATTAGCACAATCAAAAAACAGTAGATTTAATTTTTGCTAACCATGAAATGGCACAGTTCACGTGTACCGGCGATGTACACGAGTGAATTTCAGATCATTGTGCAGTCATTTTCAGCTGTTCCCTGGATTTATTCCAGCAGAAACCAAAATATGTAACAGTGGGCCGTACTTTGATGGGGCCGATGGTGAAGGTATTTTAGACATTCTCGACGTTCACTATTCAGAATTTGAAAATTTTGCGAAATCTTTAACTCCGTCGACTGACCTCCTCTGGGATAGGCTTTAGGACTCAATACAGGAAGAAATAAAACAGTTTGTTCTCCTTCGTGTAAAGAAAAAGCATACAAACATGTTGTGGATAACGAGAGACAATCATACACCTAGAAACAAACTTAGAGAACAAACACCTTTTACTGTGGCGCGAGTACTCCCGATGGGAAGGCTGAAGTGTCTGCGTTCTCTCGAAAGCTGAAAGATGCGGTTCGCTTGGCGAAGTCCTTTTATACTGCAATAAGGCGTCTAACTTTTCTGAAATCAGCTCCCGATAAGTTTTGGCGGCATTTATCTCCAAGAAAAGAAAAGACTTAGCGTAAAGTTTAACTGAACAATCGGAAGCTACCGATACGGACGAGATTGCAAACTTGCATAACGAAGCTTTTCAATCGTTGTTTATTAGAGATGATGGTCAAATGCCACTTTGTTATTCTAATTTGTCTTCCCCTTCAATTGATAAAAGTCAATTAAGTAACACAGGATGGAATATTTCACCAATTGTAGCGGTTGAACGTAAAGAAATGGTGCCGAAAAGATGACATCCCACTAAAATTTTTGAAAAGGTATGCAGAGTGGCGTTTTCACTATCTAACGTTGATTTTTGTTAAATCTCTGGAAGACTGTGCTCTTCCTGTCTACTGGAAATGTGGTAAGGTCATCTCGATAGATAATAATCTTTATTTGGACTCCTTGAGTCTCAGGTGGAGGGGCAAAAGGTAAACAGATTTACCTGACGAGGCCCCACCACCCTGTACATTGCTCAGCAGGGAATCAAAACAGACTAGAAAGAAACACAAGTAAAAACGACAATAAATCTTATCAAAAAATGTGTCACTGTGCAAAACCAAAAACGAAACAATCCTTCTACAGAAAAATAAATTATTAAGGTACAAACTGGCAGGAGCAATGAGCTTTGAAGCGAATTAACACAAATAACGGGGATCAGAGCTGATTATACGCTATTCAAACCAATGCTTAACCAAAACCCAATTTCCTATTGTAAAATACAACGTTTCATGTTACCTTTGAAGGCAATAAGGGAAGTAGCATTCCTCATTAATTCAAAAACACTTGGATGATCGTTCAAAATTTTCTTTCTTAAGGAAAGCAATACTGCACTACTTACAAATTACCATCCGATTTCATTAACAAGCACGTCTTGTAAATTTCTAGAACATACAATTGCTAGAGAATTATCAAATTTTGTGGAGATTAAACAAATGTTAAGTAAACATCAGCATGGGTTTCGAAAAGAACTTTCCACCACTACACCGCTTATTGAGGTATTTCTAGATTTAAGCCACTACATTGATAGTAGGGAAAAAATAGATGTAGCAATTTTGGATGTCGCCAAAGCATTTCATCGGGTGTCCCATGAAAAGCTGTTATGTAAAATTGCAGGTATCATTAAGGACCGCCAGCTGATCGGCTGGTTGGGAGCATATTTATTTGGAAGAACCCACTTTTGTTTCAAATTGAAAACGCGAAAGCTCTGCCGTTGCCAGTGATTTCCGAAGTTCTACAAGGGTCCGTACTAGGGCCACTGCTGTTTATTATTTATATGAATGACATGTGCGTAAAACTCAAACCGGCAGAAAAAAAAAACATTGCTGATGATACGAATATTTATACAGCCGATAACGCTGAAAGCGTTCAAATCAAACAAAATCAACAATTGGATAAATTTTTGATTGGTGTCAAGCGTGGCAAATTAAAATAAACAGGTCAGAAACTGTAAGCATGATTATTACACGTAAGCGAAGTATTTTACTGTTCCGGTACTGTATTGACAACGTGCAGCTTTGTAACATAAGGGAGTACAAAAACCTAGGTGTGTACATGCAATCAAACCTCTCATGGTACCTGCAAGCGGACAAAGTATGTAATAAGGCTATGTTTAGGCTGTGGACTTTAAGGCGATCGCTGTTGGACACAACGCCGGAAGTTAACCACTTTTTAAAGCCTTGTTTTACCAATCATAGATTACGCGAGTATGCTGTGGAAACCTTTCACTCAGAGCAACATCAATAAGCTTGAACGAGTCCAAAATGAGACAGTGAGGTTTATCTATTACCGTTATCATTCCAAAGACTCAATAACAATGCTCAAGGCAAGACGCGCATGTATACAAATCGTTTAAAATACTTTTTTTTTAATTAGCAAATGGGTTGCATAATATCGATATGTCAAGATACGTGCATTCCGCCATCCCAGCTGACTCATGCAGACTTCTTACTCGTATAAAGAATAACAACTATATTCAGGCATATCCGTATTTTACAGACACCTTTAAATGTTTATTTTTCCCACGATGCATAGACGGTTGGAATGAACTTGAGACAGAATTTGCAAATGTCCTACGATAACGAGTGTGATAAGCAGTATGGCACCATTGTAATTGTAATTGTATTCGCGTATCGTTTTGTCAGTTTGTCTTCTTTTTTTCTTTTTACAAGTGTATCTGCACTTTTTTGTACCGCCATCCTACCTAAACGCATTGTCTGGAGCTGGCAGTACTTGTAAATAAATAAAAATGAATAAGATACAAAGTAATCAATTCCCTTAGCAGATAAGTAGTCCGACATGCTAGCAAATAATTAGTCCGACGTGTTAGCAAAGATGGCTAGTTAACGCCTGTGTAAATAGGTCAATGGACCGATATCCCCAACCAGTTTGGTTACGTCACCGCTGCCGACATGCATGGCGGGAACTGTATGTAGCCTTCCTACACGCGCGACAACCCCGCTGCGGCTAGAGAGCCTTTATGTGCGCTTTGCTAGGGTGGTGCCACCCTTTGTAATACCACTCGCCGACAATCCAGCAGTCATTTTGGTCTCAGCGATAATCCGTGGGGCTCATAACCCTCCCGGAAACAAGCACCTTATCTCCCAAGCTAGGAGCAGTGTTGTGGAACCCATGGAGGGAGGATTAGCATTTCCCCTCTCGGATGGGGAGACCGATGGACACAAAGGCCACTTTCCGGCGCACGGGAGACGTACGGAGAAACAATGAGGAACAAAATGGCGGTGGGGGAAAGGGAAACAGGCAGTTGACATCACTCTATGCGAATCGCACATGAAGGCACCCTAGCTGCGGCAACTCGCATCTTTGAACACACTGAGTGCGATCCGGGAGATGCTCTTATCGCGTGCTCAATAGTATAAAAAAAAAAAAAAAAGCCTGGTGCTACATAATAGCTACATAATGGTTTGATGTATCAGCAATTTTCGTGATTTGAAAGACACCCTCTTTTATCCTAAACCTCGCTCGTAACGGTGTTTAATCTTTTCTTTGGAAGGGACAGCAGCCAGTTGTGCCCGACTTCCCTTTCGGCCCTACTCCCCGTCCTACTCCTGGACGTCAAGGCCAGCCGTGTAGCCCCAGCGCGCCTTGCGGGAGCGGATTGTGCTGCTTACAATCACGCAATGGGAATCGTCCCTCTTCCACCTGCCAGCCTAAAGGAGGATACGGAATGCCGTGTTCAGAAGACTCGATCAAGGGCGGCACCTATACTCACCTATGCCCGTGTCTAACAGGTGATTTATGTGTACCTTTTCGTGCGTATTGCAGGCAAGAATCGGTAAAACGCCGCCGTGAGCAGCTAATAACGTCACTACTCGGACGCTTTTATTTTTAGTGTCACACAAGGACGGCGGTGTTTTGGTCGGTTTTAGGTTCTAGACAAGTGTTTTTTTTTGTGTTTTTTTTCTGGTCGGGAAGTGTAATATGAGCAGTGTGGCGGTAACGCGCTACAAGTTACAGCGTTACCGGTAACGCGTTGCTTTTCTTGTTAACGTTGTAACGCACTCGTTACGTTTTAAAACACTAACGGGTAACGTACTCGTGTTAGTTGTTTCAAGTAACGGGTAACATAGTTACGTACCTCGTTTCTACTTCCCAAGATTTAGAAAATGTAGTCTTCGATACTTTTGTGTATCTAGGCGCCGAGCCGTGCGAATTTGTGAGTTTCTGCGTTCTTTTGCGTTTTTACTTCTAAGCGTTTAGGTAAAACCGTAAAAAAAGATCATAAAATAAATATGTTCAGTTTCTCCATGAACATCATTTTTCGTTAAAGAACACATGCAAAGCAAAAGGGCTTTTTCTAACCCTCTAGATGGAAAAAGAATGTTATAAAAAGAATTTACAACGAACAAAAGAAAATTTAGGGATATATTTATGGCGCAAAACGAATATATAGTTGGCACCGCGTCCGTTGCCGCGGGCCACGCGGTAGAGCTCTGCGCGGTGCCGCTGCGTTTCCGCCGCACGCTGAGCGCGGTTCGCCGCCGGTTCAACGCGTTTCCCCACGCCGCCGTCGCCGCCGCCGCACAAGTTCGTCTGCTCCGGTGCGACGCCGCCGTCATCTGACCGGCGCACAGGTCTATCACGTCTGCTTGCGCGTTCGTGGGCATCAGCTAAAAATTGGTATCGCGTCGTAAATATAGCTTTAAAAAATTTCCTTTCTCGTTTAAATTCATTTTAGGACTTCCTTTTCCCTACAAGGCTGCTTTAAAAAAATCGTTTCTTAGCTTGTGTCCTTTAAAGATGCCGCTTATACATACCCGCACCGTGAATTCACAAAAACGGGTTAATTCCAAATTAAAAAAAAAAAGTAACGCAAAGTAGCTTGCGTTACTTTTTATCGGTAACGGTAAGGCGTTCCTTTGATTTTGAGGTAACGGAGGTCGGTAACGCGTTCCTGTTATTTGCAAGTAACGAGTGACGTATTTCGTTACTTTTTTTTCGGTGAACACCTACAACACTGAATATGAGGTACAGTACCTGACAAATAGGAACGGCAGGGACGTCCTTGAGCTGTTCTGCCTCCAGTATGAACTACCTACCTCCGCTAATACTTGGGAGTCTAGTGGCCTCGAGTGTGCAAGCACAGCAAAAGCACGGCGAAAGGCAAAGAGCGCGTGCTAGAGGCCTGGCATTCAAAAGAAACGCCCTGCCGTTCTTACCTGGTCAGTGACTATGAAGAGGTTCAATAGTTCGCAACTTTCACCACATATGAGGTGCACTAGTTCATATAAAAATGACTGTCCTCTGGATTTTTGTTACATAACACGATTACGATGCTGAGTCTGTCCCGCATAATTGTAAATATGTGAAATACGTGCAAAATAAAAGCTTTACCTCATACTTCCACGTCAGGAAGGAGTAAGCAGGCACTTTCATTCGGCAAGCTGATCATCAAGGTGATAGGTAGCGTGATTCTCGCACCGCTGTACCACTATCGCTTAAAGTTTCGAATACGCGCGGAATTTACAGATAACTTCTCTGAAGGTTTGTTGTGCGATGATGAGCTAAACATACGAATGATAATATGTTCGAACTTTAAAGAACGCTAAGAGGTGTAGGATTTAAAACAAAATACGAGGATAATCGGAGATGTTAAGGGCACTTCAATTAACGCACATTGAAACCATCGATGATGCATTTAACTCTTCGTTAAGAAAGAGACGAGCCTCTAAGCTAAGCGCATATACGCCTTATATCTATATCCATATTTCATTAGGTCCAAGTGCCGGCTGCATGCACTCTTAAGCTCCAGGAAGGAGGGGCTTCATCGGTAGTCTGAAAATGGTTTTCTGCAGCCTCAGTGCACCAAATCGAAAAATAATTTCAAAATTCGTGATTCTGGAGGCCGAATGAAGACAATTTAATTATTCTTCCTCAAATACAGAACCGCTTCAGTTTCCCTTTAAGGCTGAGTCACGCAGCATCGTTTTCTTGCGTTGCTTTACGTTAAGGAAGCTTATGTCTGCCTACGCCACAAGTCACCGGAACACCAGTGTTTTATGTTAAGCGTTGCTACTAGTTTAAGCAGATAGCCTGGCACGCGACAATAGAGACGCGAAAGTTACGCTCCCTTATGTACAACGTAAAAAAACGATGCTGTCTGAATTATGTAACCATGACATTCGTTTCTCGAATGTTGCGTATCATGAGATCTCCTTCTGCTAGCGACGCTTAACATGAGGCACCAGAAATCTCGGTGACTTGTGGCGTAAGCAGATGTAAGCTTTCATAACGTAACGTAACGTAAGAAAACGGTGGTGAGTGAACAAGTCCTATACATACACAGCTCACATTACTCTAATTTCCACGACTTCTTAATATATATATATGTTGGAATTAAAATAAGACACCCTGTACAGTTAACATGAATAGGGGGACGCCTTGGATTATTAGTATTGCTACATAATTCTGTTCTTTTCATGGTACTGGCGACGTGCGCGACCGAGAGCGTCAATCCGGTCGGCCTTCCACTATTGGTCAAACGCTTATATGACGTCATTAGTAGGATGAATTCAACATTCCTCAATGAAAATACAGAGTATGCCAGACCATCCACCTTAACGGTGTTGGTTAAGGAAGCTGTCACTCAAGCTTTCACAGTGCTTTTTACACACTTTTGGAATTGTCGCTGGTAATCAATCATCCTAGTCGGGACGTCACAGATAGGAACCATAAGAGGAAGCCACCGAAGCATCTCGTCGCCAATAGCGTAACAGACTAGAACAGTTATATGCTTTTATATACGTCATATATTAAACATAAAAGAACACTAATATGCACGAATATTTTCAGAAGACTAGGCTGGATATTTTTTTCAGAAGACATTTGGAGAACAAATGTAAAACAAAGCATTTTCTAGAAATTTGAAATCGCTGTTTTTGTTCGTTTCTACATGCATTGCTCGATTTGTAAGCACGCTGACGTAATCATTATATTTTTCAGGTTACACCTGCCCATATGGTCCAAACGCCAAATGTCAATAACTACCGGAATCGTTGAATAACTCAAACGTTTTAACATTTCATCCCATAATAAAACTTCCCCATGGTTAACTCAAATAGTGGCTTCCAATGAAAAATAAAGCTTCTTTGTACCATGGATGTGTTTTTGTTTCTTTCATATTGTGTTGTTTAAAACATTCACGCTTCGTATTGTTCAGCCAGTATACGCAATTCTAAATAAAATACTACCGTTCAAACAGAAAAGAATAAGTTAAATACACCTAGTATTCGCCCCTTTTTTTGTTTGACAACAAACTCAGTGGCACCAGCTATAGGTCATATGAAAAATTCTTGGAAGCCGCCATCAGTCACGTAGCCACGTTGGTGGGGGGAGGGGGGAGGCAGACCCCCCCTTCCCCCAGAAATAAAATTCAGTGGGTCATCCCCGCCCCCTCCATCCCCGCCACCCGCACCCCCCCCCCCCCCCCCCCCCCCCCCCCCCTAGAAGGTTCCGAAGGGAAGCGTCGGGAGGAGTACAGCGTGCATGTCTATGAGGTAGCACAACAGAGACAAGGCAAAAGTTACCAAATCCCATCTTCCCCAAATCAAGCTCTGTATTTGTTATACGGTCACCCCATGGGTGTTTGTAAATGGCGCCGCGCGGTCCTCTCTGTGGGGTGAAGGTGTACACGTGTGCTTGAAGGTCGCAAACATGATCTTTCACGACCTTCGAGGTTTATATGTATGGTGTGCGTGGTAGATCCCTAGGTATGGTTAAAGTTATCTTCAGTGTCGGTACCTGTGCGTTTAAATAGATAAAAAGCGATCTCAATTGCAGCCATTAGCAGCTGGAGTGCCACAAGATAGTATTTTGGGACCACTCCTCTTTAAATCGACCGCAAAATTCGGTTTCTTAACCTATCGCGCTACGACTTTGTGCAGCGTTGCCCACAGACGGTGTTTTTTTTGTTTTTTTTTTGTGTGTGTGTGAAATTTGCAAAGGAGCGAACTTACGTGAGAAAAAAGTAAAGAAATAAAAAGGCTTAGCTCCTATGGAAACGCAGCTACGCCACCGCTCTTCAAACAACACGGCGTCGTTTCGCACGGGAGACAAGAGTTGGCGCAAGCGATCGCGACGCCAACTGCCGCCAACGAACGAGCATACGGCGCCGAGAGCCGGCGTCTTTAGCAGACATGGAACTGCAGTTTCTTTTTGTTACCGTGCCTGTTTTTGTTTCTGCGACTGTCGCCGATGGCGGAACGCGCGCCACTTTTGAGTCGAAAAGATTGTCTGCTAAAGACGCCGGCTCTCGGCGCCGTGTGCTCGTTCGTTGGCGTAATCGTTGGCGGCGTTCGTTGCGCCATCTCTTGTCTCCCATGCGAAACGGCGCCGTGTTGTTTGAAGACCGGTGGCGTCGCTACGTTCCCATAGGAGCTATGCCTTTTTCTTTCTTTACGTTTGCCTCACGTAAGTTCGTTCTTTGCAAATTTTACAAAAAAATGCACCATCCATGGGCAACGCTGCACAAAGTCGTAGCGCGATAGGTTAAGAAACCGAATTTTGCGGTCGATTTAAAAAGCCTGGCATCTCCTTGAATTAACCTGTAGGTCTGTGAACGGCCTTTATCGAAGTCGTACTGTAAAGGGTTCGAACTGGACTTGAAGCACGTGATCATATCCCACTTTGCTAGGACCATTGTCTCTCGGGCGAAACTATCGGTACGGGAAACCCTACTACGGTGGAAATTCGGTAATTGATCAGGAGCACACAAGATGGCACTTTTCTTTTTGCATATGGCCTTATGGTAGCCCCATATAAGGATTGAAAATGGCTCCGCGGGTGGGCCTTTAGCACCAGGGTGATTTGGCTGGTAGGAAGGCGTTGGCGTAAACACTTCTTTTGGTGGGCGACCTCTAGAGACAGGCGTACTTTAGACGCGAGGTGCGGAACGCGCGTTCTCTGTCAAGAAAGTCGGAGCTTGCGTTTCGGGCCGGAAGAACGCGGTGGCTCTGGCATGCACCGTATACATCGGTGTAGTCTTTCTCGCCCGCGTGTCGGGGTCGCGGCAGAAGGACAGTGTCAGACCGCATCTGGCAGAATGAATGACGGGATGGCTCACTTGGTCGGCGCTATCCACACCGGGGTCGGCTGTCTGACTCGCCTTGCGAGTTCTAGGAATAGTTTGCTTGCATACCACCCAACCCAACCCTTGGCTGTGAGATATACGAAGACCGCGGTTCCCACGCGGGAATATAAGCTATTGCCCCATGGTGAGAAAGTTAGCCGATTGGTTGTGGCCTTCTGGCCACTGGGAAACGCCTGTCTGACGACGTGTCGAGGATACGGCGGTCCACTAAAAGGGGATCGACCAACGAGTGAGTTTCACGGGAAACGCAGCAAGTGAGTTTCGTTTGTTCTGGAGCTCGAGAGCTAACGCTCCGGAATCAAGCCCGGTCGTGGGATTCCGAGGGACATTTGTCCCGTAATCGGGACGTAATCCCGCGAGCCAGCCAACTTCCGAGCTTGGATAAGCTAGTACCCGAGCACCTCCTTCCCAACCCCGTACAGGGGAAGTTACATTTTCGCAGTATCGTTTCTCTTTGTACTTTGATTCGCTACAAAAACATTAAATTGTTTATTGAAAAGCAATTCCCAAGTTCAACTGAATTAGTCGTCGACGGCCAAGAGAAGCAACTTCGTCTCTTACAAGACCCACCCAGCTTCGCACAACGAAGTCCGTCACCCCATCCGGACCTGGTAACCCGGACGGCATAAGGTGACCGAACAAGCGAACAATTGCTCCCCGGCACAGTCATCATTTTTTAATCATAAGAGTGAATTATTTCAGACAGTGCCATAAGTGGCTATTTCCAAAAAATGGCGTGTTTATTTGATTTCGCGAATACTCCGAAACCCACCGCCTAGTTCAAAACCGGAATGCGATGAGGGTCTATTTGCACACTGGTGCCACCACGTTTCAACTCAGGCTAGAAGAACCGAATACCAGGTGTTTCACCGAAAACCGGCCACAAGATTTTCCTACAAAGCACAAATCGCAAATAAAATTTTACTTGCTAGTTACTGCAATCTGGTCAATTTAGTGACGTGCCTAGCAGTTCGTATAATTTAGCCACTAATTAGTTTTGCATATAACAGGGCTTTCGTTAGTCAAATATTGGCATACGAATACAATGAAAGCTTGCAATTCAGCAGCACACAAAGCTTCGCCCTCGCTCGTGTGATTCAAAAAGTTCTTTATTGAAGCGGAAAATATCTGATAAACATTGGCATTTCCGTGTGGTGTAGGAGGCTCGGTTCGCACTTCGGCACATCTCGAAAGCACTATATATAAACAATTGCTTACTTAAACGCGTGTGTGTAGTAACTTCCAGTTGCTAAGCGGTTGTTGCATTGTTGCAGCGGCACATTGAATTAAGCCGCAGTTGTTCTGCTCATACATAATACAAAAGACACGATGTGAGCTGCAGACATGATTACAGAATAATTTGCGGAAGCGCCTCAAGCTCAAGAATGTTCGAAACATGTTTTCTACGATAATGATGCAATTAATGCGAAGGTGCAAGCAAGCTGGACGAGGATGACAATAATAATTCCTGGAGAAGGGGAACAAGGGGGACAAAGCAGAAACACATATCTCCAAACCAGACTTGTACCGTACGCATTACAAGTAATCAAATTACTTGTAATCGATTACTTTTTCGAGTAATCTTGTAATCAGTTGATTACTTTTATTAGGGCAGTAATCACAAGAGTAATCTGATTACTTTTTGATGTAATAAAATTACTTGTAACCCCCCCCCCCCCCCCCCCCCCCCCCCCCCCGCCGGCACACGCCTTTTTTTTTGTGAAATAACAAGAATAAAATTTGCTTCTTTTTTTTTCGAACGGAAAAAAGAAAGATTTTTGCGGAGCTGTAGGAACTGAGGTCAATCTCTTTCTATGTACAGTTTCTGTGGAATGTCCGGTTTTTGTTTTTTCGAGCTGGGACTGGGAGTGGGAAGCCCCAGGGAAGCCACAGTGCGTGACAAAGGCCATTCAGGGCGAAGTTGGAGGATGCAGAATGTAGCTTTGTGAGTCCTTCGTTCAAACTAGCCCCCTCACGCGCGCACACACACACACAAAAAAAAACCTGCTTAGGGTACCTACTCGCAGCCCGTAGGAGAACCAGAACCAAAGAATGCCTAAAGCGGATGCAAAAAATAACAAAGACAGTTGAAATATTTCCACATTTCCCCTACTTGGTCCTTGTGACAAGCAATGTTTCGAGTTGAGAAGTGGTCGGGGCGATCTCTTCCGCTAATGGATACTACACATGATCCGTTTCAAATCCTGGAGCTGCTGCTCTTTTGTATACACGAACTCAACTCTGTGACGTCACGGTGCGGTGGTGGCGCGTTGGTTGCACTTCCGGTCTGGCGCTGTGGGCAGAAGTCCCCATGCCAGACGTGTATTCCTGTGTTATTTTGAAAGGAACCAGACAAGAACCTGCCTTCTCGTCAAAACGCCGCGACTGGGGCCGAACCAAAAGTGTCGAGAATGGTTTGAATGTCAGTTTTCACGTGCTCGATGCGTCCGAGAATCTGGATATGTGCCGCGGAAAAGGAAAAGCAGACGCCGTCGGACAACGACTGCTTGGGCGGGAAGCACTTTGGATTGAATTTACGGATACTTGTGGTCATCAGATTTATTTGTTTTGTTCCAACATGAACGCCAGAAAACTCAAGTTGTGAGGACCACCAGCGGACTACGTTCACTTCGTCTTCAAGTTCAGACGGCCGCCTGATCGTTCGAAATGTCGTCTGCTCTCTTAGACGACGCCGGCCCGTAGACCAAATGTTGGGTCCGGTACTACACTCTTAGAAAAAAGGGTCAGTATAGTCCTCCCTAAAGGGAGGAACGCTCTTGACACATATGTTCCTTCAGAAAGGGAGAAACTTTCGTCCCTTAGCAGGGGAGGAAAAGTTCCTCCGTCGACTGCATCTCATTATGGCGGCCACGAATCGAGCAAATCGAGCTCGGT